TCCACCGATCGGACCAATGCGCAATTCAAGCAAGGGAGATCCACCTCAACTGTAATCAACCAACGCGCCGGGTTCCCGCATACCTCGGGGGAGGGATCAGGAAACGCGGACCGAGCAGAGGGCAACGGAGGCCGCGGAGAATAGGCGAGGACGGAGGAGGATAGGGAGGGGGGCGAGGCGGCGCGGTCGTTCCCAAGGGCGTTCGCGGGTGCGTCCTGCAAGGGGGAAGATGAGATGCCTAGGTGAGCGCTGGACGTGAGATAAGTTCCGGGGAAAAGGAAGAAAAAGGGATGGTAGCAGAAGGAGAAAAAAAGGAAAAAGAGTTGGTCCGTGTAACCATCGAGAAGGAAAGTAGACTATGAAGTGGGAGGGAGGGTGAGTGTGAGAGAGAGAGAGGTTCCGGGCTTACCAGAAGAGGCAATGGACGGTTTATCCGGAAGATCTCCGATAATACTGACCGACTCCGCCAGAAAAGGGAACCGCTCAAGATGGAGAATAAAGAGAGAGAGGTAAATAGTTAAGAGGGATGCGGTCAGGGAAAAGAGGAAAGACCGGGGAGTTAGGGGAGGAGTAAGTAGGAAGTAGGAAGTAGGTAAGAGGAAATGCGTCCCAAGAAAAGAAAGGGCGGGAGAGAAGAGAAGTAGTAGGGAAGTAGACTAGTTAGTAGTAGTAATAGTAGAGACGGGGAAAAGAAAGAGAAGCTCCAGGTTTCGCTCAGCCCAGCACAAACACCAAGGCAGTAAAAGCGTGGAGGGACAAGAAAAAACCAAGAACGACTGGGCGTCTGGGCAAAGACTGGCGAATGGCCGGGACCAGAAGACCGGAAATTTCCTTCATGAAGATGATAGGGATACCAAGACCAAAACCAAGCCCGAGACCCAGTGCCCGAGCGGCATCGTGACGCTTGATTTGATGCGAAGGTTGGGAACTTGGGAGGGGGACTGGATGCAGCCCAGCACCCGAAACGAAAGCGATTACGCAGGAAAAGGTGACGGGGGGGGGGGCGAAGGAATCAGAAAGCACGGATCAGACTGGGCGGGGAATGGTGCGAATAACTCTCTTTTTTCCCTATTTCTCTGCCACTGTAAAACTAAAGTTTAGTTTAGTCAGTAGGGAGTGACTGAGAAGGAGAGAGAGAGAGAGAGAGAGTAAGAGGGAGGATCCATGGTCGTTCGCGGAACGAACAATTTTAAGGCTTGGCAGAGCGGGACTCTCGTTTTTAGATTGCTTCGTTTCCTCTTCTCACCCGTTTCTAGTCACTTTTTTCTTCTTACCCAGCTGTGTACTCGGCACTCTACACATCCTCAGCTTACTCTCTCCTTCTCTTCCTTCATTTCCCGAGTATCCCTTGGCATTGACAAAGAGTACTTGGTTGGCCATCCCACTTGGTGACCTCGCGTAGAAGTTGAACCCGCTCTTCAACTCGGCTTTCTCTTCTCCCTCCCGGTGCCTCCGGGACCTGATTCCATCCATCCATCAGTAGTCACGATGTACTAGATAAGTAGCCGATTTTTTTTTCTTACTTCTCCCGAACATCAATCCGCAGCAGTACCACCTGTCTCTTTTGCCCCAGACTAGTTCCCCCGATCTGACCTACCGCTGGGGAGATTTCCCGTGTAACCTGGAGATAGATAACTCGATAGATGGAAGGCCTAGATACTGTAACTAGCCAAACGTGTGGCATGTATCAGATGGATTGATGCAGGATAAGCTTGATCTCGTGTCAAATCTCATCTCCATTGCTGCTCCAGACCATGACAGGTGTGTAGGGAGACCGTGTCACCAGTCACTTGTCACCAAACATTCTCCTCATCATAAGTCAACACATACACACCAGCTGGTACCAATCATTTACCATGATGCCCATGCAGCAACAACCTCTTCTTTCTCATGAGATCGGGGCTACACCACTGCACCAACAATCGCCCACCTTACCCGCTCGGGCAAGCCGGGGGGCTTATCGCTCTTCGCCCTGCGAGGCTGCCGAGACTTTTCCTGCCGGTCTTTATTGGCGGTGAGCCACAACTAACCCGTTAGTGTCAGCTCCACAGTGGGGAGCAGCCCCTCCGTCCATCTGCCTCCTGCCCACTTGAACTTCTTCTCTCGCCCGCCACTTACGCTGCCTCGCCCACGGTCTCTTCCCGCTTACTACCAATCTGGTAAGTCAGTGGTAGTTCAATCCACCCAGTTCCGTCTCCATTCCAGGTCCAGCGCTCTCCGATTACCCTCCTCAAGGAAAAAGCACTCTGATTGACTGTTCCGGTTTGGTCTAGTGTGGACTAGATCCAGCGAGTCAGGTACACCAGATACTTAGAACAGGTACACCTTCGCTTACTCTTCCTGTTGCCTTCATAGTGGACTCTACCGTTCAAGCTCTTCTCTGGAACTCCATCAGATTTGACTTGAGGTGCTCGCCATACCATCCAACTTATACAGATTTTATCCCAATGTCTATTCTTGTGGACTAGGATCGGAACTGGGCGGGTGAAAACCTGTGACAGACATCCAAAAATATCCATTATCTTTCTACTGCATATGAGAATCTCTCCTCGATATGCTTACAGGAGCACGAAACAGACTGAAAGCCCGCAAACAACATGCTGCGTATCCATTTCACCTCCACAAAACCTACACTACCCTGACGTGTCTGGTCTAGACAACGGCAGCCATATCCCATGCAGATATTCCTGGTTAGGTAGGTGATGTGTGAGTGTGACAGACTGAAAATGTCCGCTTATAATTAGCGCACCGAACACTTGCAACTTGCATGATGAGTGGCAAGTAGGCTGTGCAAACAATTGACCCTGCTCTATGCTATTACGGCGGCTAAATATTGCCTACGATGCACGAGGAAGGTAGGTGTGCATGCTAGGTATGTGATGCTGCACCGTACCTTCAACCCGTACATACAAAGAGTGAACATGAACAAAGTTCACAACAGAGCCCAATCCAATGCCCGTTTGCCTTGGCAGGCATGGAGACCCAATTCTAGCCGTTGAGTGAGCTGCATGGAGGAAAGCCTTCATAGGTTGTCTTCTAGCTGCAGGGGAACATTGAAAGTAATGCACAGACAAGACAGAATGAATAGATCTATCTCGCTCAACTCGATAGGTAGTTGCCTCAACCTCGACGAAGGCATTCTCAAGTGTCTTCCACCCTCATGCCAAATAAGCTTTGAGGCAAACTCAATTATGTCCACAATCCAGTTGGAGACTCGAGTCTGTGCCATTGCAACCCCGCGGAGGTGGTCAACTGGACATGACAGTAAGATGATAGCATTGAAGCATAATCGAGATGCTCCGAACTCTATCTAGTTGTCTATCATTTAATATACGTTCATATAACACTGTCCTATATACTTACTACATCTACTACAATGCCGTAGTAGTATATTCTGTAATACCAACTAGCCAGTGAACATAAGCCGACTTATCACATTCAATTTATCTGCAAACAATCACCATAATACAATAGAGAAACGACTATATCATAACATTTGATAATATGTCCATTTCACTTCGAGTTAAGTATATCACAACCGGGATACCATGGCAAATGCAATTAGGCAATTAGTATTAATATAGAAATTCTATCAACAAAAGCACGGTGACTGATTAGACCCAGCAATAATTACTTATCAGGCATAATAACAAAAAGCAATATCACCACACTACCTCCTCTAGTCCCCTCAGTAGCACTACTACTATTGAAGTTCAATAATATACTTGGGAAGGTAACACAAACCTATCGACTATTGTAATAGTATCAGGGTCACTCCACCTCCTTTCCAAAACCTTTCCACCACTATGATACTTCCAAGGCTCACAGCATAATAGTCACAAAACTCAATTGAAAGAAAAATCAAATACAGGCATCAACCACCACCCCCACCCCCCAAACCTGAACTACAAGTACTAGTATGATGAAATCCACCGATGAATCGATCTATCTATCTACTGCATCTGCAGAATACAGATCTTGCTTGAGTCAGTGACATGACCTATTACTACTACTCATTAGTAAATAGATTTAGTACTGCTCAGCAATCAACTAACTACTCATTATATGCCGTAACCTGCATATTAATATACTAACGAGTTCCACGTGAACAGGCAGGAACTGAATGACTCGAGATTTGATACGTATGTATGTATGTAGCAACTTAGTTCCTGACTGCAACTAAGTACTGTGTAGTTCTGGAATCAGCCAATGAGGGTCAGGGGTACTGTGGGTGATGATGACGATGATGATGTCTTCGCTTTTATTTAACCCGGCTAGCGCGCGAATACTACATTGTCTAGCTACTAGTAAGTAGTACTGGTAAACTACTAATACTAGCTCAATTGATATATTTGTGGATGAGTGGTTGAAGGTCAAGCTTTATGGTGATGGTTGGGATAAATTCGATTTCGAGTGCTACGCAGCATTCACAGAATGTGTGTATATAACACCAGTATCTGCTGGGCTACTCCTTACTACTCATGGAAAATCTCGGAATAATCCACCAGTCACCTGAACTCAAGTCACCTGGGGGAGGAAAAAATTACCAGCACGAGGCAGACAGAAAGATGGACCCACGATGAATGCCTAATTTGACTTGGTTCTGCATGCAAGTGTGTTACTCTCTCCTGCAGGTCAGTCCCAAAAAGCAACCCAACCATGTGTCAAAAGATCATCCCTGCAATCTGCAGCCGACCACGGAGAGAACATGAGTCGCTTGGAAGCATGAGAAACAAACACATCACGGGCAAAGAATAAAAAAAGGAGACAACAGATTTCAGGCTAAACAACACAGCAGCATAGATGGAACAGCGTCGTAGCAAACACAGCGGAACAGAGGGAGAAATAAGCGACACATTATGCGCGTGAGAAGCAAATAAACGTGACAAGATTCTGAGCAAAGACTGCCGCCGGTAATTCCCACATTGACAAGTCACACACATTTATCGAGACATACGCGCCAACAGCGACACGGGGAACAGACTGGGCCCGGTCGAAGTCTAATCACCCAGTGGCATGCCCTCCACTTGATCGCTCAGTGACCGCCAATTGTCAGCCTGCAGCTCCGAATATTTCACTCGCTCCTGGCTCCAGTCCTGATGAAGCCGGCTGATGTGATACTGGCTCTGTTGGAAATACATAAGTTCGTTGCGGATGCATTCCTTGATGAACACCCCACGTGCGTGTTGATGCACAATTGATTCCTTGTCCTACAGCAGTAACATGCAAGGTCAGCCTCTCCATTCCTCGTATCCCCCACTATATCCTCTCCAAAAATGGTAAGAAGTCCATACCTTGACAATTGATTCCTCTACCTTCTCAATTTCCCCAGGCTTGACCGGCTGGGTCCGCGCCCGTAATTCTTGCAGTTTTCTCTCGCTGTTCTCAATCCGCTTTTCTAACTGAGGGATGTTGTTGCGTGCATAACGGTCCCGCCGGTCAAACATCTCGCGAACGCTGACCAGGCAGTCCCGTTGGCGCTTAAGGTCTTCCAGCATCCCTTCCTCCCAGGCTCGTGCTTCATCTTCCAGCAAGCTCTGACTGGCCGAGAGGTGCCTCGCGGTGGCCTTAATGCCTTCATTGAGTAACGGCACGTCGTTGGTGTCAAAGGCATACGTATCCCGCGTCATCTCAGTAAGCGACTGAAGGGCGAGAGAAAACCGCAGATGATCCGCGGCAAGCCCCTCATTGCGCTTGGCTAGACGCTCGAGTAAAGTGCATAGATTGATGTATACCTCCGCAGACCTCTTGACCCCACTGCGAACCGTATCGAACATGTCCGTGAGGTCCGATGGCAACGAATCCTCTAGATCGGTGGGCAAGGCTCGGCCGGTGAACTCATCCTGTACTGATATTGTGGCTTGCTTACGCCACACCGAAAGTTCCTACCCAACATTAGCTTCCCCTCCTAGAAGTACCCAGATCGAGATACCAAAATCAGACATACCGTAGGGACGGTTAGGAACATAATGACCAGCTGCTCCTGGCTGAGAACCGGGTGACGAACGAGGGCATTGGTGAATCTGACGAGTCCTCTGCGACGCTTCTCAAGGAAGGAATTGGAATCCGCTGCAAGGTGAGTGCCATTGACTTTTACCAGGTAAGTAATCTTGGAGAGCTTTTAACAAGCTTTGTTCAAACGTACCTGAAAGTCTCTTGGGTGGAAGCAAAGGCAACTGCCGGAATGGGTATCGTTTGTGAAGGCAGTCCAGGAGCCAGACAAAATCGCTATACCGTCGCACGACCGTGCTCTGCCTACGCGCCGACTTTACCTCGTAATTGCGATGTTGGAACATGAACATGCCCTCCTTCTCCGGGAGTAGCGTTATCGTTATGACTTCTTCTAGACGGGGGCTGCTGACCCGGCCTATCCCCAACGACCGTCGACGGGGATTAGGCTCGCCCTGATCACTTCCAGAGGAGCCAAAGCCTCCAAGTCCTGCTCGGACAGGCCCTCCTAGTCCACCACCACTGCCTTCAGATGTATTCCCCGCGCTCTCGCCCCATCCAAATCCAGTATTGCTAGGTGGAGCATCGGCATGGCCGTTAGCACGGCCGTTATCAGACGCTCCGTGTGTATGATCCCCCTCACTGGCCCTACTCGACCAGGCATTGAATCCCGATCGCACGCTCCCAAACCCATTCAAGACGGCGTGCTCAGATTCGGCCTGGGCATGACTGTGACCACGGTGCAGTTGGGGACTACCCCACGGATCCGCCTCTAAGCTACCCATCGACCCTCGCGCAGATCGTCGCGACTGAGTCGAGCTCGGTTCTCGTAAGGGGGCGGAGGAAGAAGGAGGAGGAGGCGTAGCGGGACGGTCTTGTGACTGGACAGGTGTAGCCGATGATTCCTGTTTGGCGCGCAATGCGTCGAGGTAAGAGCTTTTCGGCACTGGGAGCTCTGCACGCCGCGCCCGTTAGTGGCTTAATTAAGTAGACAAGTTTCAGCGCCAACTCACTCTTGCGTCGATCGTCCACTGCATCAAACGTAAGGTCCTCGCCTTCCTGCGCAAGACCCACGAGCGCTAGTAGGACACTGAACTCTCCCCGGCCAAGACCATTGGAGCTGTCACTATCGCCCGAGATAACAAGGTTGAGTATCTTCGCTTGATCGGTGGCGCTCAGGCCACTGCCCGACAGTATTTCCCGAACGGACGTCAACCCGACACCGGTTCCAACGCGGTCCCCCGCACTAAGGACTAGATCATACGCATCGATATAGCTCTCGGGGACATCGGAATCTGGCAGCAGGGTCTTCACGATCTCTTCCTTGGAGGTTCTCTTATTGGTGTTACTCATCCAGGGTGAGCCGGAGCTGTCGTCATCGGCGAACAGGGAGGAGCTCGCATTGCCCGTATTGCTGCCATACGGCGGCTCGTCTGCGAAAAGGGAGGCCTTGGACCTCTGGGCCGAATTAGCCAGTGGAGAGTCCTCCGGCGAGGTGCCGAACAGAGACATGGGGACGGTGGTGGCTGGGGACGATGGATGCGACTGTTGATAGGCAGTGACGAAGCGGAGCTCGGTCGGAGAGGAGCAATGAGGTGATAAGTGTTGCGCGAAATGGCACCACCACGACAGACACCTCTACGGCCACGGAGAGTTGGAAGCAACAGATCAAGCAGATGTAGACAATAGTAGGCAGCCGATTGAAATGATAGCGATGAACAATCGGGTACCAGCGAGGGAAAAGGGCCTGCCTGCTCTTCCTCGGGGGTTGGATGATAAGACAGCAGCAACGCGTGCAAGTGAGCGAGTGTCTGTCTCTTTGGGGGAAAGTCGGCGCTCCACCGGCGGGAGGCGCTAGTGCGGCTGGCAAGTCAAGGACCCCCTCGACAACCATGGTTCAACTGCACTTTACTCTGTCATCAACAAACACATCTTGCACATTATTCCGTTTCTTCATCTGGTATCTAGGTATCTATATACGTTTGCTTAGAGAATGCAGTCGCGTCTACCTCGTGTATCTATCCGCCACTAGATGCCCCCTTCACTTGAACTCTCCGATGTTTGCTCATGGCATTCCGGCATGCTTTCCCCACCGGATGGGACCGTAAAATATCCCTTCTGCACCAAGACATCTTGCCATTCTGGCTTGCCAGTAGCTAGGATCAATGATGGATTCGCATCGGATGCGAACCATCTTTCTTTCCGCGTGTGAGCTTTGCTACCCCCTTCCAGCGCCGCGCGGCTAGCCCTGGTCTGTCGCCCGCGTTTCGTACCGCTCTGGTCCTCGGAGAGCGCGCCGGTCAGCAGATGGCGATATCGTGCGAGACGCATGTCATAGGACATGATCCCCCGAATGTACGGGCCTAGATCTTCGGCGATAGGCGCTAGTCCATTCTCAAATGAGGGGGCCAGGCGTCCCGTAGGTGCAGGAAACACATGGTCAGCCCGCATAATGGGTGCGAATGCGGAGAGAAGACCTGCTTCGGACGTATTCGCAGACTCGGGTTTAGCGACGTTCTCTAGCACCTGGGCGGCTCGAGCGGCCTCGTCCTGTCCATCTTCATGCCGAAAGGCTCTCCCAAGTAGGACCTCAAATGTACAAGCAATGGCAGTTTGCGTCTGCGAATAGTCAGGTACGAGAGAGGCGTCGAGTAAGGTGTAGCCTTCAGCGTAGTTCGATCGCTGCTTCTCGGGCATGAAAGGAGCCGAAGTATCCACAATATCCTAAGGAAAAAGTCAATGTCTGGTATCAAGGTAGTATGACAGACGTCATGGCTTACCAGTTTGGCTTCGATTGAGCAAGAGGAGCCAAGAATATCCAGGTCGCTCTTCATGTCCATGAACTCGGACGCCTGCCGTAATCGATCAAGCCGCTCGGCGTTCGTTGTGGCCGAAACTGGGTTCAATGGCGATTTGGAAAGGTTAGACTTGGCATCAGCTTTACTCTCCGACTCTTGAGTGCTGAGCTGCCACCAATTGAAGGCCTCGCGCTGGGTCTCTATATCAGCGTCTATGCCGTCGCACATCAACATATCGCGACTAAACCAGCCCATGTGTGGTTCGTAAGTGTTCAAACTCAGCACTCGGAGCGGATCGCCATTCTGGTCGAGATCTGAGCCCCGCGGCCACCGGTCGATAATCCAATCGAGACCAGACTTTTCGCTCCCGACTGCGATTTGGCACCAGAATCCGAGTTCCGTGACGGTCCGTCGAAGGTCTCTGCCGTTGCTCGCATACAGGTCCTCAACAGCGTTGCGCTTGAGCATGTGGCCCTCATTTGCAGCCAGGAGAAGGGTGTAGTCGACGGCAAGGTCTAGTGGAGGAGGTCGATAGCGAAGGATGGCATGAAGTCCCATGTCTTGAAGAGGGATAAGTTTCTCGTCGTTACATGTTATGATGATTGGACGTTTCGACTGGTTGATTAGTGTCATGACTCCGGACCAGAACTGCTTATCTTCTTCGAAAAGAATGTCAGCTTCCTCCAACAATATAAGTGATTGCTTCTGGTTCCGAGAGCGCTTGATATCGGCCACTTGAGTGGCGCTGTTTGCGTCAACCTTGGGAGCCCCGTTGGAGTCTTTAGCGACTCCAGATTTGAAAAAGCCCATCAGTTTGTTTTGCTTGTGATCGGGTGGCGCTTCATTCGGCCCATCTGCGACAGATACTTCACCAGTCTTCGCGTTATGGACTAAATGATTTCGTGTCATGTCACCCACACGCTCCACGATATCTCTGGCACTACGGCGGTTACCCGGGTTGATTTCGAAAACTTCAAAATCAAGCTCTTTTGCCACCGCGTACACTGACGCCGTTTTACCACATCCCGGAGGACCACTGAGGAGAATTGCGTTGGATACGCGAGCTCTATCAGCGCCTGACTTCGAACCCAGAGCCAAGTCATTGGACCGGACCAGCGTTCTCTTAGTGGTGACATCTCCCGCTAATTCATCATCTGATTCATTAATAGGGTCCAATTCGTATGCCTCGTCTTCGCTTGAGACAATGAAGCCATCCAAGTTCTCTTTCTTGCGTTTCTTTCGTTTCTTCTCTTCGGCACTCTTTCTTATTTTGTCATCGCCCTTGGAGGATTTACCGGTGTCGACTGTTGTAACCATAAGATATTTCAGCCAGTCCCGTAGCATGTATGCTTCCTTGCTGGTTTGGAGAACTTGGTCAGCCGATTGAGGAGCATACTTCTGAGCCCAATTCAACGTTTCGAATGCCCCTTGATCGAACGGTGTCATGTAACTGGGAAGCGAGGAATGTAGCTTTCTAAGGGCTGGGTGACAGGCTCCCACGAGCGTCTTCTTGTCGTGAGAAGATGCCGATAGTTGTCTGGTCACGGCTGTTTGTATAACCTTCCCGCTAGCGACGTGTCTAGAAGGAATCCTCAGACTTTGCGGAGAGTCTGACGAGTATTTCCGTATTTGGTGTACAAGTACGCTTTCGTTGTCATGGATACTAATAGCAGCCATCTTTGCCTTTTTCAAATCTCGCATCACGGGGCCAAAAGTGGCTGTATTCTGAATGTTGTGTTCTATGCCTCGGACATGGACTAGGTCGCGCGGAGGCCAAATTGGCTGTATAGGTTCTGGAAACTTAGAACGCCGATGCTTAAACGATGTGAAAGTGGTGGAAGGAACGGCTGCTGATGCTGTATCTTGGCCAGGAAAGGGGCGCGCTGTGAGTCCTGTTCCCACGGAGGGCTGTGAATTGGTAGAATTAGGTTCCCGGCACTGCGAGTCTGTGATTTCTGGCTTGCGCGTGGGCTTCTTCAGGAAGAATGGATGAGTCGGTCTCTGTGGCTGTTGTGCGACTGTAGAAGAGGGGGGGGGCACAGGCTGGGAGGCCTTTTTGACGCCATGCTTCTTGTGACCAGCAAGTATATCGTCAATCAGCTTTCCCACCCGTTCCCTCGCACTACTTTCCATGCCGTATCGGATGATCACCATCCTGCTTTCGGAACCGGTAAGCTTCTGGGAGTCCACCTTGCTACGCTTGCTGGTCCTCGTCTTCTTCGGTTTATCCTCGAACTTATCTGCCACGGGAGAAGGTAACAATTTTCCGTTAGGGTTCAATTTGATCGTTTTTTGCCGAGGTGACCTTCTTTCTGTCACCGGTTCATGCGTAGTGCCGGCTGCAAGCTCGTGATCAGGCCCTTGTTTAGTCGTGTCCACCCCCTCTGAAGCAGGGGTAGCGGGCTGAGTGCCAGTCTTGGACTCTGGCTTGGACTCCGGAGTCACCAAGCCATCATCGGCCGTATCTGCATTCTCGCTTGCAACTGAGGTGGTATCTTTATCCTGAGATCGCGCATCTCTGGAGATGACATAATTCATCACAGATCCCTGACCCGACGTTGTTGGGATCGACTTCTCCTTGTCTGTTTTCCGTCTCTTCCTCCGGTCGGTGTTAGGGTCATGATCTAGTGTTGCAACAGGCGTAGGGGACGGTTCGGGGCAAGAGGACAGGGCAGGGACATGGTTGCTGGGCGGTTGTTTGTGTAGAAGCTCCGGGCCCTCGTAGGAGTGATTGCCGACGGGTGTTTGACCAATTGGGCTCGTGGATATCCCAAGTTCTGTAGAATATAAGCATCAATGGACATGGGGAAGCCGAAGGGAACAAAAACCTCTTCGAAAGAACGGATGGATTGCACGCTGCTCTCCCTGTCCCATAGCCATACTAAATCTGGCTCACCACGATGCGTCCATGAGATGAGCCAGTGCTCATCATCTAAAAGAATGATAATTGGGCAAAAGGAGTAATCAAGACATGAACTGGGGTAAGAATGTCAAGGAGCGGATAGTTGGGATATTGTTTGGAGTCAGCTTCTCAGCTGCAGCAACGATAAGCAATTAAGGAACGAAATCGACGCGAAGCAGCGCGTGTTTCCGCGCGGCCACCGAGAGAGCCAATAATGCCCGCCTTGGACGTCATTTCATACCATACCCAATCCATACAAGACCCGCAGTCATGTGGCACCTAACCCCATTGGGAGATACCGCCCGGAGATCGGCACAACGTAAGCCCGGAAATTTTTCGGGAAGCCATACAGAATGGATTTCTTCAGGAAGTTCACGGTGCCTCAGCTCTTCGGCGAGAACGGTCGCGCTTTGATCGCATTTCTTTGGACCGGCTCTTACAATCATGGATCTGCAGCCCCCGTCGGTGCTGGCTCACTTGCCGCGCCCGTTGCATGCCTCTACCGGTAAAACCCACCTGGGCGAAGTGCATAGCTTGGCCGACTCGAAAAAGCGCAAGAGACATGAAGTGGTTGTTGCGGTCGATGGAGAGGCCGTGAATATCTACAACGTATGCATGAACTTCAAGACTCAGCATTGGCAGGATAATAGAGACTGACTCGCCGACTCTCTCTAGATCCAAACACCCAAATTGGTGACCTCCTACGCCGTCCCACCCCAGTCCGCGTTCTCCTGCCAGCCCTGCTCGGTGCGCAGAAAGATCAATAAGTCTCTTGTCAGGAGGCAGACCTACGTCGCCGTGAAACAGCAGATCAAGTCTTTCGTGGAGGAGAATGGTGGGAACGGATCTAGTGCGCCTTCCATCGGCTCCTCGTCTTATTCAGTGACCGATTCGGAAAGTCCTGCGGTTTTTGTTGGCATTGTTCCAACCGAGTCTAAAGAGGAGGAAGAGGAAGGATCCTTCGATGTTCTGGCTGTTCATCAAGACGGTCGCGTCCGGCGCCTGTCTTCGGACCTGAAGACCCAGCATTGGAGCTTACGGCACAGCGAGGTCGCTAAAACCAGCACAACTCATGAGATCCGGTCATGTTTCCTCGTCGAATTCGAAGATGCGAGAAAGTCCTTGTTCAAGCGCAGACAAGATCTGGCCGCCCTAGCCTTCGGAAACCTTACAGAGACCGGTGTCGACGAACCCTCGGTGCTGTTGCTTGTTTCGCAACCCATTAGCGCTCAGCACACGAAACTAAGCGACGTGAAGGTCCAAATGTTCTCCGTTCCGGCCAATGCCTCCTCTTCGGGCCACGACGAAAGCCAGAAGATGCGCCACCTGATCACATTCAACCTCCCTGACATTGATGGGCCTGAGACGATCGAGACCCGTGGGTCGCAGTGGTACTTCCATGCTGGATCAGCTGGGCTGAACGTTTCCTTCGGACAGGGATACATCAACTTCGATCTCTCCCAGTACACTCCCACCATGACCTCCAAGTTCATTCTTGAGAACGAGGAATTTTCTTCCCTTATGCGCATCTCCCCTCAGTCCGTGATCGGTGCCGGCAAGTCCATGATCGCCGTCTACGACACGCAATACAAATCCGTGCAGCGCAGCATCGCTGTCGGCGACATCCCAGCCAGTGCCTCCGGCATCAAGGCGCGCACAACGTTTGTTAGCTACTACGCCAAGCTGGGAGTTGCCATTGCTACCAAGGACAACACTCTGCTCGCTTTCGACTTGAGCCCGTCGCACAACACTGCCAACCCCTCCCTCAAACGGTCCAGGGATGGCTTGTTAATCGACGCTATCGGCCGGGGTATCGGATCCGCCAAAAAGCATCGCACCGAGGATACAGCAGTTCTGGGTCTCTCATCGCCCGAAGAAGTCGAGCGCTGGAACAAGCTGACTGCCGACCTCCACCAGTACTCCGAGGCCCAGGATGCCAATGCTTTCGATCGTGCAGTACTGGCCTACTACGGTGCCAACGGCTTCCCTTCACCAGAGGACTACGTCAACCCGGAGACAACAGTCCATCTTCTGTCCCTGATATTCAAGCTGAAAGATGATGCCTCGAGCCAGGACCAACTGTCAGCCTCGTCTTCCTTCCGCTTGTCCATCAACCTGTGGCCCCAGCAAACCTGCCAATGGCTCATCCAGATCGGCCACCTGTCCCCGAACAACGTCGAGATCGCTCTCCGTCGATGCTTCAAGCCCCGTATCCTCCCCTCCCTCCCCACCGGATCTTTCATCCAAGCCCTGACCGAATCGGACCCATCCCTCCAACGCCTCATCGACGTCCTCCAAGGCCGCGTCCTCTTCTCCACCGACGAGCTCGCTTACATCCTCAAGCTCCTCATCAACACCGCTCGTTCCCGCTCCGTCACCCTCGACGAGGAAGCCCCCAAGGCGCTCACCAACGGCGAAGACCAAGACCAAGAAGCCACCACCCAGGCCCTGGCCCTCTCCCACGCCGAACCTAGCCTCGGAAACATCTTCCTTGCCCTCAACACCACCCTCGAAAAGATCCACCGCCACCCCCTCCCCGCCATCACCACCTCCATCCGCTCCGCCCTCTCCCGCACCGAGATTATCTCGATGGTGCACCACCTCCGCCTCTCCCTCGCAACAGGAGGCTACACCTCCCGCTTCACTGAATCCCCTCCCATCCCCGTCCCCGCCGAGCAAACAAACCCCCCGATCTCCCTCTCCACCATCGTCGACCTCCTCAACGCCTCCGTCGACGCCATCGGCCCCTCCGGCTGGATCTCCGCCGCCTCGGGCGTCGACGACTCCATCACAGCCCGCGACCAGGAACTCATCGCCGACCTGAAGTCCGAAATCTCCGCTGCCCTCGCCGGCATCGAAGAGGCCACTTACCTCAAGGGCATCCTCCACGAATACCTCCGCTACGCTAACAGCGCCATCCGCTCCGCCACCACCACCGTCGCCGTCGACTCCGGTAGCGATACCCCCGCCTCTGCGATGGTGCGGCTCGAGAAGCTCAACGGCGCAGACCTGATGGTCTTCGGCGCTACGGAGGACGATGATGGTCTTGAGGGTGACGCTAGCGGCAAGCTGTTGCCGTTGTCGCTCAAGGCCGGATCGAACGATGTCAGCAAGACTAAGGTCAAGCTGTCCACTGGTGAGGTCAAGACGAGAAGTAGCAGAGAGATTGGTTATTTGCGGCGGAAAGCGGCGGGCAAGTACTCTTTCGAGAGACTTATTGTATAGATTCGGTAGCAGTTATTCTTATTACGGTATATGGTGTATTATGGTATAAAAGTAGAACGGATGATCAATTCGAAGCTTCATATATATGTTCATTGAGTTCATGTTTCTCATTCGTTTGATTTCTCAGAGATGATTGTTTGGCTTGGTTGGTAGTCATTGTGTTCATGATGATGTCCATTCAGGTGATATGAGATTTTGGATTGATGGTAAATATACTATGCACTGGTTCAGCTGTAGGCGTTGGTGGAAGGCAAAGGGTACCGACGTGGAGTTATCTGTAGGCCCTATCAATCCTTAAAGGGATTTGGCTGTTTAAAGGTTCGAGCAAAAGCATTCAATCAATGCGATTCGATGAAGGGGTTCATAGTAGACGCCACTTCTCGATTACTAGTATATGGGATGCCACTTGCTTCTGGAAACAGCGGGAGGGAAACCATGATACTTGTTGCTAGTGAGTAGTGTTCATTACGATGTGTATAATATATATTGAACCCGGAACAGCGATAGAAGTAATATGCCAGTCTCATTCGATCTCAATTTCACATGGTCTGAATATGTACACGCTTTATATATAATATATGCACAAATGATAAATCAAAGACTCCAACTCCAACATATGGCACTTATCGTCTCAATATTGGATCGTCATGCTTGCAAGTCATCAGAAATGGTTTGGGGTATCGTGAAGATCCATGTCCCAGTCGTTAGGTTCACAAGCAACTAAACCTCCCTGGTCGTTGTCAAGGTCCCGCCTTTCCCAGATATGACAAATCAAAACAAAAATACACAGAACACTTCTTGGTAGTGGCACAGAAAACCGGCATCAGAAGAAAGAGGCACTCAATAATACAACATAATCGCACTTGCGTGATCCGTGAAGGGGTTGTAGGGGGAGAAAGGGCACCGTCAAACAGTATGTCAGCTTGTTTCGAACACGTGCTTTGTTGGTATCGACCAGTCAGGAAAGGACATAAAGGGTAAAGGCGCATTCTAGCGAGGATTACCAGAAGGGTTATTTCCTAGGTCATCCGCCATTGATCGCACTCGAGATATTGGTGAGAGGATCCTACTTGCTTCAATAATCACCCTCCATCATTCTGATGCACAATGGTGCGGAACAGTCAGGAGCTTGAATTAATGAAACGCGTGTGGCGTAGGCCTGAGATGCAGGGACGATCTGAGGTAGCCAATAGTGCCGATCCATGGTAGCACAGCCAGTCTGGGAGGGTTACCAAGCAATATTTGTTAGGAGAGGGTGTATGATCAGCATCACAATGCCATCAAGTCATCCTCCTTTAAAAAAGCTAGTTGGCTCCCAAGGTCGAGTTCTGAGCACGCTCTTTGAGCCGCATAGCTTGGGCTTCTAGTGATCGAGCCATAAGCTTTGTCACTGGCCACACAGCGGCCCGGTCAAGGAGACTTGCCGTGGCAAGCAGAATCTTGCTGCCATAACCCCCCTCAACGACACTAGGCAGGCGTTGTAGGACGCTCAGGGCTGACATGGTTACCCCGCTTTGAACTTCTCTCTGCATCTTATTTTCAACGCTGGAAAGAATCTCCTTGATCTTGCCCAACAGTTTGCAGTCCTCTTCCTCGAGTAAGAGAAGGTTGGTGGCTTGCATGAGGTCGACGTCATCCTGGCCAAGAACACCTAGGTAGGGGCCGACGCGTTCTTGAACAGTAGTGATCCATTCTGCCAGCACTTGAGCGCAGTCGAAAGCGCACATGGCACACTGAATCGGCAGCTCCCGGC